GTCTGCTTCTGCATGCGAGCGCAACTGGGCAGTGTGGGATTCGGTCCACACTGCTCGGCGCAACAAGCTCGGCTCGGAGAAGCTGAAGGATCTGGTTTACATTGCGCACAACTGGGGGGTTGTGCGCAACTGGCACAAGAGGGATGAGGGACTTGGGATTGTGGCTGGGAACATCCCTGACCTCCCGCTTCCAGAGGGGTACTTGTTGGTGGATGAGGAGGACGTGGTCGAGGAGGAGGGGGAAGGCAAAGAGTTGGATGATGAGTATTGTTAGTGGAGCTTTGAGGATCAAGGGAGTTGGAGATGGGAGGGTTGGGAGGGGCTGGGGGGGGAAGAGGTGGCAGGGGTGGCAGGGGAGGCTCGTGTTAGGGTTTGCCCGCAGCATAGTGTTGCAGAGCATGAAGTGGAGTACTCGCAGCGGCTGGTTGTGGGAAAGATGCATCCTGGTTGTGTTGCATGGGAGAGGGGGTAGGTGTGTGTGATGTGATGAATGGATGTTAGGTTGGCTTGTGAATGTACCCTGAAACTTTTAATATTTTATTAATGGGGGTGGTGGATGAAAGTGCCTTTCCCCTTCCTCCCCCCGAAGCCCGTTTTTTTGCCCTGCCCGAACTTTTTTTTAACCCTGCCCGGGCCAGCGTTTTCCTAGCGTTTGCTCCACTCCTGGCTAAGCGTTTTGCGTTTAAACGCTAGCGTTTAGACGCTAGCGTTTAAAACGCCAAACGCGTTTTTTCCAACGTAGGTCGCAAGCACCTAGAACAAGGTCGCAAGCACCTAGGACAAGCTCGCAAGCACCGAGAGCAAGCTCGCAAGCACCTAGAACAACCTTGCAAGCACCTACATCAAGGTCGCAATAACCGAGAACAAGGTCGCAAGCACCTAGAACAAGGTCCTAGCAGCACCTAGAACAAGGTCGCAAGCACCTAGACCAAGGTCACAAGCACCTAGACCAAGGTCACAAGCACCTAGAACAAGTTCGCAAGCACCTAGAGCAAGCTCGCAAGCACCAAGAACAAGCTCGCAAGCACCTAGAACAAGCTCGCAAGCACCTTGAACAAGCTCGCAAGCACCTAGAAAAAGGTCGCAAGCACCTGGAACAAGGTTGCAAGCACCTAGAGCAAGCTCGCAAGCACCTAGAACAAGCTCGCAAGCACCTAGAACAATCTCGAAAGCACCTACTAGAAGCAGGCAAGCACCTAGAACAAGGTCGCAAGCACCTAGAACAAGCTTGCAAGCACCTAGAATAAGGTTGCACGCACCTAGAACAACCTCGCAAGCACTTAGAACAAGCTCGCAAGCACCTAGAACAAGCTCGCAAGCACCTAGAACAAGCTTGCAAGCACCTAGTAAAAGGTCGGAAGCACCAAGAACAAGGTCGCAAGCACATAGAACAAGGTTGCAAGCACCTAGAAAAAGGTCGCAAGCATCTAGAACAAGGTCGCAAGCACCTAGAGCAAGCTTGCAAGCACCTACATCAAGGTCGCAAGCACCTAGAGCAAGCTCGCAAACACCTAGAATAAGCTCGCAAGCACCGAGAACAAGCTCACAATCACCAAGAACAATCTCGCAAGCACTAAAAACAAGCTCGCAAGCACCTAGAACAAGGTCACAAGCACCGAGAACAAGCTCACAAGCACCAAGAACAAGCTCACAAGCACCTAGAACAAGGTCGCAAGCACCTAGGACAAGGTCGCAAGTACCGAGAACAAGGTCGCAAGAACCGAGAACAAGCTCGCAAGCACCTAGACCAAGCTCGAAAGAACCTAGAACAAGCTCGCAAGCACCTAGAACAAGGCTGCAAGCACCTAGAACAAGGTCGCGACCACCTAGAACAAGCTCGAAAGAACCTAGAACAAGGTCGCAAGCACCCAGAACAAGGTCGCAAGCACCTAGAACAAGGTCCTAGCAACACCTAGAACAAGGTCGCAAGCACCTAGAACAAGGTGCTAGCAACACCTAGAACAAGGTCGCAAGCACCTAGAACAAGGTCCTAGCAACACCTAGAACAAGGTCGCAAGCACCTAGAACAAGGTCGCAAGCACCTAGAACAAGCTCGCAAGCACCGAGAGCAAGCTCGCAAGCACCTTGAACAAGGTCGCAAGCACCTAGAACAAGGTTGCAAGCACCTACATCAAGGTCGCAAGCACCGAGAACAAGCACGCAAGCACCTAGAACAAGCTCGCAAGCACCTAGAACAAGGTCGCAAGCACCTAGAGCAAGCTCGCAAGCACCTAGAACAAGCTCGCAAGCACCTAGAACACTCTCGCAAGCACCTATTACAAGCTCGCTCGCAAGCACCTACAACAAGCTCGCAAGAACCTAAAACAGGCTTGCAAGCCCCTAGAACAAGCTCGCAAGCACCTGGAACAAGCTAGCAAGCACCTAGAAAAAGGACGCAAGCACCTAGAACAAGGTCGCAAGCACATAGAACAATGTTGCAAGCACCGAGAACAAGGTCGCAAGCAACTAGAACAAGCTCGCAAGCACCTAGAACAAGGTTGCAAGCACCTAGAACAAGCTCGTAAGCACCTAGAACAAGGTCGCAAGCACCTAGAACAAGCTCGGAAGCACTAAGAACAAGCTCGCAAGCACCTAGAACAAGACCGCAAGCACCTAGAACAAGGTCGCAAGCACATAGAACAAGGTTGAAAGCACCTAGAACAAGGTCGCAAGCACCTAGAACAAGGTCGCAGCACCTAGAACAAGGTCGCAGCACCTAGAACAATGTCGCAGCACCTAGAACAAGCTCGCAAGCACCTTGAACAAGCTTGCAAGCACCTAGAACAAGGTCGCAAGCACCTAGAGCAAGCTCGCAAACACCTAGAACAAGCTCGCAAGCACCTTGAACAAGCTCGCAAGCACCTAGAACAAGGTCGCAAGCACCTAGAACAAGCTCGCAAGCACCTAAAACAAGGTCGCAAGCACCTAGAACAAGGTCGCAAGCACCTAGAACAAGGTCGCAAGCACCTAGAACAAGGTTGCAAGCACCGAGAACAAGCTCGCAAGCACCTAGAACAAGCTCGCAAGCACCTAGAACAAGCTCGCGAGCACCTAGAACAAGCTCACAAGCACCTAGAACAAGCTCGCAAGCACCTAGAACAAGATCGCAGCACCTAGAACAAGGTCGCACGCACCTAGACCAAGCTTGCAAGCACCTAGAACAATCTCGCAAGCACCTACATCAAGGTCGCAAGAACCGAGAACAAGGTCGCAAGCACCTAGAACAAGGTCCTAGCAGCACCTAGAACAAGGTCGCAAGCACCTAGAACAAGGTCGCAAGCACCTAGAACAAGGTCACAAGCACCTAGAACAAGTTCGCAAGCACCTAGAGCAAGCTCGCAAGCACCTAGAACAAGCTCGCAAGCACCTAGAACAAGCTTGCAAGCACCTAGAACAAGCTTGCAAGCACCTTGAACAATCTTGCAAGCACCTAGAACAAGGGCACAAGCACCTAGAACAAAGTCGCAAGCACCTAGAGCAAGCTCGCAAGCACCTAGAACAAGCTCGCAAGCACCTAGAACAAGGTCGCAAGCACCTAGAACAAGCTCGCAAGCACCTTGAACAATCTCGCAAGCACCTAGAACAAGCTCGCAAGCACCTAGAACAAGATCACAAACACCTAGTGTTGTAAAATATATATCTATACAACATGCATGCCTAGATTAGGAGGTGTAGTCATTATAATTATTGGGGGGTTGTTGGTTGGGTTGACCAACCCCACATTTGGGTTGGTCAAGATTGGATTTGGTCCTAGACATTTGGTTGGCACTATTCCAACCAAATGGTCCTTGGTCGTAGGAACCAACCAATCACCAAGCACCACACTTTGTGGTTGCTTGCCTTCCAAGCAATCTCTCTCATTGGTCCATTGTGGCCAATCGGAGAGCACAACACTTTGTGGTTGCTTGCCCTACAAGCAACCTCTCCCATTGGTCCACTTTATGGCCAATAGGAGAGCTTCCCTTCCAACTCTTCTTTTGTTTTGTACAAAAGAGCCTCTTGGCTCCCTACTCAATTCAATCTTTTCTCTTCCAAGCTAGTTCCTTCACCTAGAACAAGGTCGCAAGCACCTAGACCAAGCTTGCAAGCACCTAGAACAATCTCGCAAGCACCTACATCAAGGTCGCAAGCACCGAGAACAAGGTCGCAAGCACCGAGATCAAGGTCGCAAGCACCTAGAACAAGGTCGGACGCACCGAGAACAAGCTCGCAAGCACCGAGTACAAGGTCGCAAGTACCTAGAACAAGGTCGCAAGCTCTTAGAACAAGGTCGCAAGCACCGAGAACAAGCTCGCAAGCAACTAGAACAAGCTCGCAAGCACCTAGAACAAGGTCGCAAGCACCGAGAACAAGGTCGCAAGCACCTAGAACAAGGTCGCAAGCACCTAGAACAAGCTCGCAAGCACCTAGAACAAGCTCGCAAGCACCTACAACAAGATCACAAGCACCTAGAACAAGGTCGCAAGCACCTAGACCAAGCTTGCAAGCACCTAGAACAATCTCGCAAGCACCTACATCAAGGTCGCAAGCACCGAGAACAAGGTCGCAAGCACCTAGAACAAGGTCCTAGCAGCACCTAGAACAAGGTCGCAAGCACCTAGAACAAGGTTGCAAGCACCTAGAACAAGGTCACAAGCACCTAGAACAAGTTCACAAGCACCTAGAGCAAGCTCGCAAGCACCTAGAACAAGCTCGCAAGCACCTAGAACAAGCTCGCAAGCGCCTAGAACAAGCTCGCAAGCACCTTGAACAATCTCGCAAGCACCTAGAACAAGGTCGCAAGCACCTAGAACAAGCTCGCAAGCACCTAGAACAAGGTCGCAAGCACTTAGAACAAGGTCGCAAGCACCGAGAACAAGGTCGCAAGCACCTAGAACAAGCTCGCAAGCACCGAGAACAAGGTCGCAAGCACCTAGAACAAGCTCGCAAGCACCTAGAACAAGCTCACAAGCACCTAGAGCAAGCTCGCAAGCACATAGAGAAAGCTCGCAAGCACCTACCTGTACAGCTTGTGAGTCAAGGTAGAGGGGAAGGAGGCGCGAGAGGAGGTGCGAGGAGGCGGGAGCGTGCTCGGACGGCTTGAGCACCACCACGTTGCCCGTTGCCAGCGCACCCACCAGCGGCTCCAGGCTCAGCACTGTTGGAATGGGATGGGGGAGAGAGAGAGGAAGAGGATTTCAGGAGAGGCAGTGGGGGGTGCACAGAGCGAGGGGCAGGCGGGTATGTCAAGTGCAGTGACCAGCAGAAGCGTGCAGAAACGCACAGACAGGAGTAGCTCAGCAAGGAACGGTGGAAGGGGGGGAGTTGATGGTGGGGAGATGATGCGCAAGATGATGCGCAAGATGATGCGCAAGATGATGCGCAAGGTGATGCGCAAGATGATGCGCAAGATGATGCGCAAGATGATGCACAAGATGATGCACAAGGTGATGCGCAAGATGATGCGCAAGATGATGCGCAAGATGATGCGCAAGATGATGCACAAGATGATGCGCATGATGATGCGCATGATGATGCGCAAGATGATGCGCAAGATGATGGTGGGGAGATGATGGTGGAAGGTGGTTCGCACAGAAGGGGAAGTTCCAAGGCGAGATGATGAGCACGAGGCCCAACGGCTCGTACACCACCTCCGAGCGGCCAGGCTTGAGCGACAGGGGCGTGCCCACCTGGTGTGATAGAGGGGGGGGAGAGGAATGCAGAGATAGCGAATGACAAAGGAAAGAGAGGATGCAAGGATTGAGTATGGGAGTGAATCTGGGCGGAGAGGTATGGTGTGGTGTGGGAAGGGCGTCGTGGCATGGCAGCAGCAAGAACAAGTGCGTGCGGAAATGGAACAAACGCACTGCGCCACATCACTGATGAGCCAATCAGCGGGCGCATTTGTGGCAGATCACTGGAACAGCTATTCCCAGCCACACCCCCCCTCCCCTCAACGCTCCCACTCCCACCAGTGACCTCAAGTCCCAAGTGTTCTCCCTCTCCCGGCCCACCCTCTGCCGTCCTCCTAGCCCCACCTTGTGCGGCTTGGCCCACTTCTTGAAGTTCTTGAGCATGTGGCTCGCCGCCTTCCACACGCCCAGCACCTGGTGCCGGATCGGTGCGGGTGGGTTGGTGCGGGTGGGAGGAAGGAAGCCAGAACAGAAAGGCAGGTCATTCCCCTGCATGTCACTCTCCCAATGTCACTCTCTCAATGTCACTCTCTCAATGTCACTCTCCCAATGTCACTCTCCCAATGTCACTCTCCCAATGTCACTCTCTCAATGTCACTCTCCCAATGTCACTCTCCCAATGTCACTCTCTCAATGTCACTCTCCCAATGTCACTCTCCCAATGTCACTCTCTGAATGTCAGCCTGCCAATGGCGCTACCTCGATCAGGACCTCCATGCGACCGCGGCCGAGGTCGGCTTTAAGAGCGGCCATGATGTCGTCCTCGTGCTCCTCCGCCATGCGCGCCAGATTCCGCAGCTGCTGCTCCCGCCACGCTAGGTTTCGTGTCTCGCCGGACCGGAATTTCGAACGAAGCTTCGCCACCATTTCCTCCGCAGCGGCTTCGTCAAAGGTCTCGCCTTTCCTCCCGCCCTCCTCTACGCACGCTACAGCCGCGCTGCCGTCCTGGTAAGGCCGATCCATGCTGAAAACAAGTTCTATCGAGACAAAGGGCGGCTGTGATGTACGGGAAAGAGCGGATGTGAGAGCGGAGAATGAGGTGGGTAGGCGATGGGAGACGAGGAATCGCGAATGGGTGCGAGAAACGGAAATACTTGGCGACGAGGTCGATCGCTAGTAGGCGTTCGAAAGGTGATGACTTGGAGGTAAGCAGGCCGCAGAGGGAAAGCTGGAGGGATCGAAGATACACCATTTCTCCTTTTGAGTCCCGCTCAAAACTCGCGCGGCGCGAGACTGAAAGTCGCAAAGCTGGTAACACAGCCAAAATCGACAATAGAGGGGAAATCGGCACGTGTCCAAAATGATTGCGGGGTAACATACTTTAACCCATGCGGTCACAACGATGTTACCATATTATTGCCGGTGGATTCCAAACGTGTTGAGCGACTTTCGCCTAACATCTCATCTTGACATTCGTATTATGAATATTATCCAGCTCACAACCATCAGATTAAAAAGAAACCGTCCATATAGTGACACTGGTTACAACAAAGGCCTACGTGTCCGACACATGCAACGCTATAACCAGCAGAACAGCCTACCACCCACCACTCACGACTGCCGAGTCACACTGTCTGCAACACGAGTCCATCGCTGGAAAGGCACACCATGTTGCACTGTCAACCAGCGTCTCTACCTTCCCACAAAACACGCAAAAAGACACACTAAGATTATGCAGCAGGTGAACACCGCAGAACAACCCCACACAAATCGTAGCGACATTCACGCAGAACGCGATTAAAGAAGCACGAAAGCACCAACAAAACGAGACGCGGACAACTAGTGAAACAGATGACAGATGAGAGAGACAGAGGGTCGAAGTAGAGAGACATAGGGCTTTTAGAGAGACACAGAGATAAAAAGAGATACGGAGCGTGACCCGCGGCCATGTGCCGCATGCTTAGTATGCGGCAGTCTCAGAAGCCAAGCAGGTCGGAGTCGTCAGCGTGGCCGTCCAAAACTCCCGCCATGCGGATCAGGTGGCGCCGCGTGGCGATGGCATCAGGGTCATCTATAGCGGCGGCGGGAGTAGGGGGCAGGACGTGCGGGGGAAGATTCAGGTTCAGAGCATTCCCCGACGCCCTAGCCAAACTGTCGACAACCACCGGATTCCGGATGTCGAACAAGTGGCGGAGGTCGTTCGGGCTACTGCCCGTAGCCCGGGCATAGCCCACAAGCATCTCCGTGGCCCGGCGCGCGATGTGCCTTATGGCCCTCGTGTGTTCGCGGCAAGTGACGATATCGAACGGGGCCTCCCGAGCAGCGGGGAGCGGGTCGGCTCGAGGTGGCTCGACGGCGAGAGGGTCGGAACCCTCGAGATCGCAAGTAGGATGGTTATCGTCGATCTCGAGAAACTCCGACGCTGCCATCGCGACTGGCCCGAGCTGAAGGCGAGGAATGCACGCCGCCATGGCCTCCAACTTGGGCTGCACTTCGCATGGGTCGCAGGGGATTCCATCTGCACAGCGGCGGGCATCCAGCTCGCGGGCAGAATCCGCGCGTGCCACCAGCAGCGCTCCACCGTGCTCTGTTCGATGGAGAACCAGGCGTCATGTAGCCAGACGACCACCTCGCGCATCTTCGGCTTCATCCGTTGCAGCTCCGCCGGGCAGCCGCGCGCTTCCCACATCTGAGTGAGGACCGCGAGCCATTTCACGCGGTACCTCGCCTTGGCCGTCGCGATCAGGCCCTGGTCGAGCGGCTGGATGAAGGCGGTCGTGTTTGGTGGCAAATATACAATACGTATGTTACTCAGCTTGCGGGTGTGAAAGCCACAGAGGTCCTCGGTTATGGCACCCGGAGTGGTGATGCGGTGGCTACTTGCATTGTCGACGAGGAGCACGATCGAGCGTCCCTCGGCGAACATGGCTGCGTTGAGCGACTCCATGTACGCAATAAATACCTACAGGTTTAAAAAAAATGGGGAGAGTCATCGCGATAAATGGAGGTGAGATAAGCGGTTACGAAATTATGCTACGGCTAATTTGAATACGAGAGGTGCAGTCACAAAGTAGGAGCACACATTTGCAACACATGGAAAAACGCAGGAGTTTGATTTGGCAGGGCGTGTTCCTTCCCTCGCTCGTCATCCACCCTTTCTTGTTGTAACGCCAATGGACCCAGGGCTCAGGATCGAAATTCCCTTCATTGAAATCGTGCGGCCGTCGAACCTTGCTTATCATCATGGGCTTAAGCATCGACGAGCCGTCGGTGTTACAGGTGAAGACGACGGTGACGCGGTCCTTCGCAAATTTGCGACCGGACAGGGTCTCGTCGGTCCACGTGCGATGGGGTTGGAAGGACGTGAACAGTGCCGTCTCGTCCAAGTTGTAGAGATCCTTGAGGTGCACACCGAGGAAGAGAAGCAGCTCCGGAAGCTTCTGGCGCGCCCAGTTGACAGCGGCCATGTCAGCGTCTGCAGCTTCGCCTTTGCTTGTGAGGCTCTTGAAACCATGCGGTCCACAGCCTTGTGACACCAGTTCAGGGAGCATTTAAACGAGGATGGAATGCCCAAAATACACGCAAGACCTTTGGCTTTTATCTGAATAAGACTCAACGTCAAGGGAATTCCAGCAGAACCGGAATTTCGTATCCAAATCTTCAGTTCGTTCTCGAGGCTGGGGTGGTGACACCCGCGAACGCGAATGCGCTTGTCCTTGGAGGTTGCCGCCCATTTCGTCTCGTGCTTCAAAATCTTACCGATGGTGCTTCGGTCCGGCAAGAGGCCGAACCTAGTGAAGCACCAGCGGGCAAGATCGTCGAGGCGAAGGTGCGGATTCGAAGCCGGATGCTTGCATATTTCCCGCTTGGTGACGATCGGAATCTGTGCCCTACGGTGGATGCGAGGCATTGTCGGAAGTAGAGAAATGGGGTGGTTCTGGTTACGGGGTGGTGGAAAGAATGTCCACAGCTGTTTGATAGCGTTCTAAATACGAACTTCAGCTGCACAGCCAAGTGGACGCTCTGCCTCGATCGCCAACATCCAAGGCTGCATGGCCAGAGGGTGTTCGGTTATAGGCCCTGCCAGCTGGGCACGGGGGGGGGGGGAGGTACGTAGTTGCATACGTGGAGGCATGGCACGCAGTTAAATTGAGTAAATGGACCACACCCGATACCCAAAATCCGACGTGGGGTTCTTTGTGCCCAATGGAAAGCGAGTGTTCACCGCGCATTTCGTTCGTGCTTCGCTAAACCACCAAGTCGTATCGCACGCAATCGTAGCTACTTCCCCCATTGGTTTCTTGGAAGATTTCTCCGGTCCATTGGTCACCACGCTGGCTGGATAGTGCAACTGTACAGTTATAGGTGGACACTATATAGGGGGACATAAGCAGTGTAGAACTTCAACTTGGACTGTAGAAGTTTTGTCACCTGAAACGGATGAAATTGTAAAGGAAATAAGGTGTAGTCCCACCAGTCGCAGCTCAAGAGTGCGACGGCTGCTGGCCGCCCCAGGGCGTGCCATAAGAGTTCAATTACCCTCTCGACCCTACCTAAACGAAGTACATGTCAGATCAATCTCTCTAGAACGCTTAATTACTCACTCAACCGCACTCGAGTGGACTCTTACGACGTGCCGTCTTTGTGATGTGAGACATGCAGTACACTGCCAGTTGGTTGGATGGTTCGTGACTGCAATTTTTTAATAACATTCAATTTTAAATAATACTCAAGCTTGACATGCGCCTGTAACTCAGTGGATAGAGTGTTCGCTTCCTAAGCGAGAGGTCCAAGGTTCGACCCCTTGCTGGCGCGATAATTTTTCCTCTCTGTGTTATGACTTTCGGCGTCTTTGGCTCTGGTCCTTGCAGAGCAGGGACACTTTCTCGTCGTCCAAATCAAATTGTAGACCTTTGTTGCTCGTCGTGTGCCGTCCGATCGCTCCTTCCTTGAATGTCAGACGCCTGTTCGCGACACCGTTTTCGTTCTGCTTGTTATGTGATTGGCTCCTACGAAACGAGCCGCTGATAATTGGCCCCTGTCTTATCTCGAATCGCACATTCCGAGCCGCATCCGTTTCTTCTCCAATTTCCGAGTCGACATTTCAGCAGCAACGACTCGCTGGGTGCATTGTGGAGCCGTGCTTGTGGCGCCTTCGCGTGCGCGCCCATTTCACTTGGATCCAGCAACGGGCCATCTATCCCTGCACACACATATCCCTAGTCACCGTCCTAAAACCATAGGTACAGACACTGTCTCTGCCCCGATTTACAGCTCCCGTACCCACTCTGCTTTGGTGGCTAGGTTATCACAAGGAATTTCGCTGACCCAGCAGGCGACCTGACCGCCCATGGTGGTGTTCTTTCTTCATCGTCATTTCTTCTAGTTTGAGACACTAGTCACTTGTGTAAGGCGTCCCACGAGTAGCCTACTCCAGCTCGAGTATAAATAGCCACGACTCTAATCAAATCTGTAAAACGGTCACTTCTTTGCGAAGTTGTCCAGCTAGCTCCCACAGGGCTCTTCTCTCATCGCTCCCTTTTGAGTGCATTACTCGCGCACCCGCGTTCTCCCGTAGCTAGCCGAGCACGTCCAGGCTGCAACTAACACGTTCGCGCCTCGCCTCGCCGTCCGCTCGCGCAACTCGTCATGGCGCGGCTCACAGCCATCCTCGCCGCGTGCTTGCTCGTGTGCGCGCTCCACGCAGGTGAGACGCGCGGCTCAGCTTTCAAGTCACCTTTTGAAGCTCCTTAAAGCGAGACGCACGGCTCGGTTGATCCAAAGTGCATTTGAAGTGTCGCTGCGGTTCGCACGTGTGGTATCCCTAATAGAATCTCCCACGCTTTCGTTGCAGAGGCTACGTCGCACCAATTGAGACAATCGATTATCTTCTCTTTCTCATTCTCTCCCTTTCCCCCCTGCTCCCGCCCGCCTTTCGACTGCTTCTCGTCGGCGCCTTTCCTCACGTCGTCGCCTGCAGGGTTTGCCGAGGCACAGGTACTACTCCCGCCCCTTGCCGTTGCTCTGCCCTTGCGTTGCCCTCGCTCCCGCCCCTTGCCACAGCTCCGCCCTCGCTCCGCCCTCGCTCCGCCCTCGCTCCGCCCTCGCGTTGCCCTCGCTCCCGCCCTTGCCATGGCTCCACCACTCTCCCTCCGCCGCTCCCCCCTAGGCGCCACACCGCAACCGCCCTCCCCTGCCCTCCCCTTCCACCGTTCTTCTGCTCACCATGGGTTTCCTCGCTCGCCCCTTCCCCCCTCCCCCCCCCCTTCACTGCCAGCAACTGCAAGGGAAGCTGTACGAGGTTGGGTCCGGTCTACTGCGGTACTTCAGCCCGTGGAACCAGGGCGTGGCGGGGTGGATTCCGCCAAAGAACATCAAGCCGGGCGACATCATCCGTAAGTCGCGCTAACACAGGGCCTCACTCATAGCCTCTTCCCTGCCGACCCGCACCCCCCCACCCCCGGTCCGCCGCGTTGGCGCAGACGCAATGAAAGCTCTTCGAGGTGGGGTCCGGTCTGCTGCGGTACTTCAGCCCGTGGAACCAGGGCGTGGCGGGGTGGATCCCCCCGAAGAATGTCAAGCCTGGCGACATCCTTCGTAAGCCGCGGGCGACGAGGAGGTTACCATCCCTGGGCGTCGCAAATTTGCGTGACCCCAATTAACCGCGTTTGACCGAGTTTGACCCTCGCGCATTTGTGGCGAAACGCAAACCAGGGCCCCGTCTCAATCGCGCCCATACCCATAGCGTGCGCCGCCTCATGCGCCGTCTTCCGTTTCTTGCGCACAAGAGAAACTCCGTGCTCCCATCGCCCAGCGCTCCTCGATCCCCGCTTTCTCCCGCTCACCATCCCGTGCACCCATGTCCTCCTTCCCTCGCTCGCCCGCCCGCCCATCCCATCCCATCCCATCCCCGCTATGCAGTGTTCCGGTGGCTGGGGCGGCACGACGTGCGGCAGTTCCCCACCATCATCGGGTACAGCACGTGCAGCTTCTTCCTCGCCAAGGTGCTGCAGCCCGGCTCCTACTTCGGCTTCTACCGCTACGTCGTCAAGCCCACGGACAAGGGCTCCACGCTCTACTTCGGCAGCAGCATCGGCGACGACTGCCAGCGCGACATGAAGGTCGCCATTCCCATACCCTAGGGCGAAACGAGGGGCGTGGTAACCAGTTTCTTGGCGAAATGGAGCCTGCATGAAGCAGCGTCGTCTGTGCGGGACGCTGAAATGTGATCGATACAAGCTTACTACGATTTAGGGGTTAGGGTAGCAGGGGTAACTGGGTTAGGTAACCATTGTGGTAGCGGTACACCTGTGTGTACCCAAACAGTTGGGGGCTCAATTGTAACTGCATGGAGCACACCGCTTGTGCTTCCACTCCATACATACCCTCCTCTCTCTTTGGAACTCTCCTGTGAGAATTGCCTCTCGCTCCAAGGGCTATAGCGCCAGTCCAGAGAAAATAATAACCAGAATTTACAGAGAGCTCCACCGAAGGAAAGAGCTTTGTCATGCCATGTCTGCCGGCCACACCTGTGTTGCGTGCTCCTTCCAACCACGTGCCTCCTTTGCGGCCGCATGATACTCGCCAAGCACTTGTAGACGGGTGGCACATAAGCATTGCAGGCTGATATTGCTTTGCCTGGGTGCTATGTCTATCCAGGGTTGCACGGTGAAGTTTCGCTCCTCTTATGACCCTGCAAAACCCCTTATAGCACGCACACGCTGCTGCTGCCCCTGTGTCATGACACATTGACCTGCATGGACAGGGCGCTCGGTGTGGCCCCTCTACGCTTATCCCTTTCAGATAAGGCCACAGAACCACACTGGACTGGACCCGACTGCGCTGCTCGTGATAGCAAGGCACACATGGGATGGGAATGGGCAGCAGCACCTAGGATGGCGAGGGGAAGGTTGGGAAACTGGGAGCGCTCCTTAGACGTCTCAAAAAACATGCGGGGAGGAGGTAGAAGAGACGAGTGCATGGGGGTGGGAAGCAGGGTTTTCAGCTAGGATTTTGGCCCGCCTAACGTTCAGACGGGGTTTCAAACTTTGGTATGATCTGTTCAAATTGTATAAGTTATAATTTAATATAGGCTTGGTAGGTTGTTACTGAACCTTTCTGTAGAGGGTACAAACCCCTCCTTGTACTCCTCTCTCTTCCTAATCCAACCCCTTTTCTCTCGACACTCTTCCTTCGCTCCTAGCTAAAACCCGCCGCCACATTCATGGCGGCCTTGTTCCTAGCCTAGTGCTACTTTAACATGGTAACAGAGCCGGCCGTTTCCGGTCCTGTCTTCCACGCTTCCGCCTCGTACTTGTCTTGCGTCTCACTTCGTACCGTGCCGCCGATGGCGGCCTTTAGTTTTCCTGCCGCCGTGGCGGCCTTGCCCTTCCGTGCCGCCGTGGCGACTTCTCTGAGATGCCGCGGCGGCTTAGTCGAGCTACTGTCGCACCTCCGCCTCGCCGCCGCGGCTTCGACGTCGCGCTGTGGCGGCGTCTTTTGGCTGCCGTGGCGGCGTCATCGGGCGACAGCCGGCCGCGCATCGTCAATGGTGCCGCCGGACCTGCCGCCCGCCCTGCAGCCGCCGGCGTGATTCTGGACTACGCCCCGCGCCCCTCTCCCCCCCTCCTCCCCCCCTCCTTCCCCTGCTCCCCCCCCCTTCCTTGCTGCAGCCAACGACTGCCTCTTGAGGGCCCTCCCCACTGCCGAGGTGACTGGACATGCCGCCGAGAGGGCGGGGGCCGCTGCACCAGCCTCTGACGTCCAAGCCGCCGCTGCCGTTGCTGTTGCCGCGGGCCGGGCGCCGCCGCACGCCGCCACCGGCGCCGCTGTCGTCAATGTCGCTGCTGCCGCCATTGCCATCCCACGGGCCGTGGGAGCTGCCCACTTATGGAGTCGTTGCGTCTCCTGCTGGGAATGGGGGTGCTGGGCTAGGGGGTGTGGGTGTGGGTGTGGGTGTGGGGGTGTGAGTGGGCTTGACACTACCAAGCCTAGGGGGTGTGTTCAAATTATATAAGTTATAATTTAATATAGGCTTGGTAGGTTGTTACTGAACCTTTCTGTAGAGGGTACAAACCCCTCCTTGTACTCCTCTCTCTTCCTAATCCAACCCCTTTTCTCTCGACACTCTTCCTTCGCTCCTAGCTAAAACCCGCCGCCACATTCATGGCGGCCTTGTTCCTAGCCTAGTGCTACTTTAACATTATCATCATACGAAATTTTCGGCCGATCTGCCGTTTCAGGCAAAACTTTTGGCACGGTCTGACATTTCAGATGGAACCTAGCGTACGTTCCCCTGTACTAACAATGCCAAATCAACTGCATTGGAATGTTACACAAACAACTGCTACTGCAACAACATCTTCTCTGGGAATAGCGGACAAATACTAGCAGCCTACAATTATGATGTACTGCTGCTGCACTACCTACGCTACAACCTACATTAGGAATTAGCCTTGTACTACACACATGCTGTGCGGCCTGTGCCATGCCGCCGCCTGCCTACTCAGAGTCTGAGATATCACTTCCAACCTCCTCGATGTTTTCATCACTGTCAATCTCTGGATCTTGCCTTTCCTCCTCCAGATTGGGCGAGCCGCACCAACCTGTTCAAACACTCTGGCTGCTTCTGCTGCTGCCTTTGCCGCCTTCAATGCCGCCAACGTCTTGGGCCGCTTCAACTGCCGCGTGCTCTGATCCATGACAACTTCCTTGGCATGCCACTTCTTCATGCTGCGGCAGCTCGCCACATACTCCCCCTGTCCATCGGGTAGTCCAGCAGCGACACCGTCGTTAAGTGGCCAAGCTTCGCATCACCGATATTGCCGTGATGCCAGCTTTTGATGACGTTATGGCGACTAGACCCGCGCTCCCACTCCACAGTGCTGAGCGGAAGTACGGCACAGGCAATCTAGATGAGCACCAGATTGGGGTAGGTGGTCATCTAGTCCGGCGTGGAGAGCATGTTTTTCAGCACGTCATGGAAACCAAGCTCGTCGTTGTGTGTCGACATGATGGTGGCGAAACTGACGAGCTCGCCCTTCGCCTTGCCCCAGTGGACACTTGAAGGGGGAGTGAAACATAGGCAAAGAGCAGTTCGTTAATGCCAACCACAAATCAAACACCGGAAGACACCCTTGCTAAGGCGACCACTTAAACGCTCCTGGAACTCACCCGGCAGAGTGTCAGGCGCTCACGTATCACACTTGAGAGGCCGCGTAGAGACTGAAGCCATTCGAGAAACTTCCCGCTTGCGCCTAGCGGTGGACTTCGGATACATCGTATGCTTGAAGATTCTTGTATCGTTGAGCTTCGACAGGTCCTTAAGGTGTTCCTGAAGGTGGTTGATGATGCCCTTGACAACGTACGTGACGAGCTGCTGTAGCGACTTAAGACCCCCCTTGCTCTTCTGCCCGTCCAATGGCTTTACGTGTAGATTGTAGGTGTGCACAGTCAGCGCCCCATGTGCGTCAACCCCCTCGATCGTCGCGTCCTCGCCCCCCCCGTACAGATGCAGAAAGTCTGTGAAGTCCCCTTCAGCAGGGCCGAACTGCGCGCCGTGGTTGATGTAGCGGGCACGCAGTGTCATGATTGTGTTGTCAACCATCCTAAGCACCTGGGTGACGTCGACCTGCCATTCACAGACAGAGAGGAAATGCATTTGCTTATTAAAATTCACACCCCCCTCAAAACAAAGACATGTCACCAAGTGGCTCACCTGGCGACGCTGGACATCCGCCGGAAAGTAGAGCAAGAAATGAAACTTCAACGAGATAACTATGTGATACATCTTTCTATCACACTCGTACAGCTGGAGGATGGCGGCAGGAAACACATCAACAAGCTGTTGGATCGCCTCACTGCGACTAAGCCAATGAAGCTTGTAGATTCCTTCTATCCCGAGGTTAGTTTTAGTGATGACTTCCTACAGCTCCTTGAAGTGGTTGTGAACAACGATGGACCGGCCAAGCACCTCGGCCAGTGACCGAAAGACCTTGTCGCGGATGCCTAAGTCAGGGAAATCTTCAGCAGTATCCTTGGTAGCAAGAGCCTCCCTGCACATTAACAGTACAACCTTATTAGTTCGGAATTCAATTGTAAAAAAGAGCAAATAAGAAGAATGTCAAACTCACCTATGAGCGATGCAGTGGCATAAAACCTGGTGCGGAATTCGGGTGTGCAGCCTAGCCACGAGGCCTACTTGCACACCCGTCATCACACTGGCACCATCGGTGCTCATGCCGCAAATCTTGTTGAGGTCGATGCCTTGAGACTCCGGGTGGGTGAGTAGAACGGCTTGCGGAGACGCTGCGTCACACCTCTTGATGGTGAGATGCCCGAAGAATTCTGTCACCACTGTCGTGTCGCGGAGGAAGGTGAGGTAAACAATCATATGTTTACCCCGTCGGCGGTCGGTTGACTCGTCGAATTGAATGCTCAGGAATGGTGAAGCCTTGATGTGTTTCGTTTGCTTGGCACGCAGATAGGTGACGATGTTGTTGATAATTTGATTAATGCCGTACATGTGCGGGCATATTCGTAATTGGTTAGTAAGCTGGATACGAGGTTTAAAATCAACAGTCCCAAAGAGTTAGTTGTACATAAAACACTTACTCGCTCTTATAGGTACGGTTGTCCTTCACAGGCAGGTCTGGTGTTCCCTGCTCTAACCATGAACTGGACAAGTAACACAAACAACAGTACGGGGGCGTCAGATTTGCAAGGGAACATAATAATGGCCCTGAAATGCTTCAGACGCTTTGCCTCGTCGTCCCCGTTCTCGTAGTTGGCGATGGATTTATGCTTCGCGTTCCTGCCGTCCTTTTGCTCCTTCCGCGCCATTGCCGCCTCATGCTTCTGACGGTGATGGTGCTTACACATCATTTTCTTTTGTATGTCGATGCCGCCTTCACCATTGCGCCCATACTGGTAGTCTGGGTGGTCGTCGTACGCAATACAGACGCTACACCTTAGAGGTCTCGAAAATCAGCAGCCATGAGAAGTTCTGCTACCACTGTCCCTTTGCTTTCAACTGGAGCTCGACGACTGTGAGGAGAAAGGGACAATCGTCGTCTTCAGAGTCGACAGGAGCTGCTTCGGCAGAGCGAGATCGCAGCTTGATGGAGGGTGTAGATCGAGCCAACGCTGGTCGACCGAAAGTAAGCTTGCGATGTCAATAATTCCTCTTGCCAGGGGCGCGGACAGGTAGGACAGGACTGCACGTCACGCGGGAAGGGGAGACAGCTCGCACGGACGAACACCCAAGTGTTGACGACGGGGATGGGTGAGGACGGAGCATCACACGTAGATTTTCCTTTGTCGAAGAAAACCCATGGCTCCTCGTCTAACGGTAAGAGAGGCGAGGAAGGTGCCTCGCCCATGGCTGCAATCGGCGCATCGTCGAT